TGTTTGTGTGCTTTTTAAATAATTTTTTTTAGTTTTTAATGATGATTGTTTTTTATATATTTATTGGATTTTCTTTTAATTAACTAACTGTTGTATGCCAGGCAGATACTCCTGTGAGATGGGTGGTCAGATAAACATGATGAATAAATAAATTTTATAAGCTAGTCAGAGCCTACCAAAATTGAGCAGCATAGAAATTTCAGTAAACAAATAAATCATTGCAGTCTTCCAGCAGAATGTGGGACAGATTATCTATCATATCTGTTTCTTATTCTAATCCGTGGGTCGGCAAGCCACGGCTCTGGAGCCGCATGTGGCTCTTTGAGGCTTCTCCTGAGGCTCCCAGCCTCCTCTGCCATTTGCAGAGAGAGAGACACGAGAGAGGCGCTTGTGCTTCCTCTCTCTCTCTCTCTCTCTCTCTCTCTCTCCCTCTCTTTCTCTCTGTGTGTAAAAAAGAGTGGCCTCACGCAGTTGTCCAACGAGCTGACAAGCTTATTGGGCAGGGCTCCTCCCTTTGCTATGTCTCTGCAGGAAGCAGGAAGGGCAAGAGAAAGTCAGCCCAATAATGTGTGTCAGCTTCTTGGAGAACAGCCTGATGCTATCTTGCCAGGTGAGCAGAAGATCGGGGGGGGGGGAGAGAGAGAGAGAAAAAGGGAAGAGGGAGAGAGAGAAAGGAAAGAGAGAGAGAGGGAGAAAGACAAAGAGAGAGAGGGAGGGAGAGAGGAAAAAGAGAGAGGGAGAGAGGAAAGAGTGAGAGAGAGAGAAAGAGAGAGGAAAGAGAAAGAGAGAAAGAGAGAGGAGAGAAAGAGCGGGAAAGTAAAGAGAAAGAGAGAGGAAAGAGATAGAGGGAGAAGAGAGAGAGAGAGAGAGAGAACTCATACACAGCCGCTTCTATTTCTTTTTAATTAAATTCTTCAATCAAGCTCCCCACTCCTTGTGTGTGTGCGCGCATGCATGCACAAGTTTTGCGGCTCCCAGTGTTTTCTTTTCTCTGGGAAATGGGTCCAAGTGGCTCTTTGAGTGTTTAAGGTTGCAGACCCCTGTTCTAATCCCCAAAGAGATAATGGAATATACTGTACTTCCCTCCTTAGAATCTCCTTTAGCTTAAAAGATCATTAGTGTTACTTTTCTTTAACTGATTTCTGAATTGCAACTTCACCAGGGTTGGTTCAATATAGATTTCTTTAGGACAGTAAGAACAAGTTAATTTCAAAGAAATTTCTTAAATCAAAGAAATAAAATTCAAAAATGCTGAAATCTTTTTCATCTTGGAGGACAGTTTACAATCTCTATAACGTAGTCCTTTAGGATTCATGTATGGCAAGGAGATAGTAACAATAGAATATTTAGAATCGACAGTTAACAGGAAAGAAAATAATACCATGCTTTCAATTATTTTCTTAATAACATTTGGTGCATTTATGATATTAAATATATTTGGAGATTGACTTTCTGCAAACTTTTGCATATGGATTCTAGTAATATTGATGAGACAAAGTATAACTTTAGAGCAGTAATTTCCAAATTTGTGACCATGAGGAACAGTTTTTAACTTCCCTCAAATTTGTAGAATTCCAAACTAGTTGATCTAATCTGTTGACCGTGAAATAAGCATAGTTATTAAAAGCTACTATTGAATAAAGCACAAATAAATTCATGTCTTAAAATACAGCAGATTTGCATCAATATGAGAAATAGTATTTTACATGTAAGTATCATACAGCAACCACATGCTTATTTATTATATTGATTTTTAATGAAATAGATGTTAATTTTTAGCTTTCAGAGAATGAAAATGTGCCTGAGGTGTTGAATCCATATGCAGCTTGTTTTGGTATTTAGATTTCCATTGTAGGAGATGAGCTCAAGGAAGGGGTCAAACACATCATCAATCATGAGTCCTTGCACGCTCACAAGAGAACCAATTCCTTTCTTAACTCCCGCTAATTTCTCTTGACTGTTAATAGTTCAGATTCTTGTAGGGAGCTTAAGCTTTCAATAAATCTTTCTACTCATTTGAACTGCCTGAATCTCCTGATTTCCCCAGTGCTTGACATTGATATAAGTGCAGAAAATCTACTTTTGGATATTCAGAATTAACATGTATCTAGTAAACAACTAGGTGCTTTTTCATTAAGATTAGTTTTGGATGATGCCATACTGCAGATTTTGCCTATGCCTAATTCCCAAACTTGTATTGCATTTATAGCAGGCTTAAATGGAATGCAAAATTCACTAACTCTAATTTCTCATTATTTTTCTAATAATGTAATACAGTATTTCTTTTCCAAAGAGTAAGCCAGAAGCCAATCTAAATTGTTTGAAACTTCCACGTTTAATTATAATTCACTGGAAGAAACTGCATGTATGGACAAAGGTTTAGTTACAGTATCATAATTTCTTCTGCCAATGCCATTCATGTCTGACTTACTGACAATTAAATATTTTGTTGAACCATTTAATTCCTCTTAATTCTAGATCCAATATCAGTGATTCTAGAAGCTATTTCTAAGAAACTGGGAAACTGCTATATTTTCTTTTCCTTTTATTGTGAGCTTTCGAGTCAGTGTTGACTCCTGGTGACTTCCTAGACTGGTCCCTGCAGTTCAACAGAATTGGAAAAAATCTTGAAAATGTTAATATAGCTCTATATTGTATTGCACAATGTTCATTTCTATTACCACCGCAAACTCCAAAATTATCAAAGATCAAGACATTATTCATGGGATTAAAAAGCTACTATTCAAATACCAAGACAGGTCTACCATGAAGAATGTTAATTTATCATTCAATCATACTAAGTGCTATGTTACTATTGTTGAGCTTTGTGTGATATTGATGTAAGCTAGCATTTGGCAACAAGAGAGGGTTCATTCTGCAATGCTGTTTTCAAATGCTGAGACCTGCGTATGACAATAATTACAACTGAGCAGACCTTTGTTAGCCTAGTAGTCAATATAATCAACACTACTTGACACATTTCAAATTGCAAAAGTAAGAAGTGGTGCATTGCTTTGGCTTTAATTCCATAAAAGTGCTTTCAAGTGTTTCAGGGAATGAGAAGTTTTTCCTACTGCACAGTCCAAAGGACTTTTTTAAAAAACTCAAAACAAGTTCCTCCATTTCTTGAATATATAACTTTTTAAAGGAATGTTTTATCAAACAATCATATAAATGAAGAAACATACATTTTGCCAGTAGCAGGTATTTTAGATCATACTTACAGAAGATTTTAAATGCCATAGATTAAGTGAAAGCTGGTTAAAAATGCAGAAGTCCTTCAAAAATATAGACAAAACTTTCTTGTTAGCTCCACCTTTTAATGTCTCTAAAAATTTGCAGTAAATCCAGAAGAATTATAACTTTACTTAGTTGCATGAACTCTGGGCAGATATGCTGATATCATTTTTACAAAAGTGAAAACACTTTTATGGCAGTTTTCACCAATACTAAAAAAATATTCCTCATATCTATATTCTGTGGAAGAGTAAACAAATGTGAGCACTTTTTCTATGGAAAGTAAAGACAACTGGCTTAATTTGATCTTACTGACAAATCATTATTCAGAGCTTCATTTATTTGTAACCTTGGATGGTTTAATTGGTTATTTAAAGTAGTCTATTTTAGTATTAGTAGTATTAGTAGTACTTTACTAGTACTTTAGTGTTTTAATAGTAAGGATGCTAAAAATTAATGCAAACTAATACAAATTAATATGAGATTACAATAGACGGCAGATTATTTTTATAAAAAAATATTATAGATCTTTGATTGCTTTTATCATTATTTGTTAATGGTGGTACTTATATTTATCATTCTGGTGTTATATGTATGCCATCAGGAATAATTCCTAAAAAACATGTAGTAGCTGTGCTGTCTTATGGATTACAAGCTGATTCTGAAAAGCATAATAGCTGTAAATGAATAGAACTTATAATTAAATAGATAAAATACACCAATAATCAATATAAGCACATTCAACAAGAAAGCTAGTACATGCATTGCCAATCATGAATGAAAAGCTAAACCGGGACAGGATATATGGACAATAATGGAATATATGAAATAGCATAAACAGTATCATGCAACATTAGCAATTTACAAAAGAGCTAAGGAATTGAATTGTTCTATGGTCCCACTGATTTATTGTTATTGTCATTAGCAGCTTTTCCAAAAATGTAATTCATCCACTTAGTAGAATGGCATTCTTTGAATACCTAATTTCTTTTAGTTAAGTTATCTGCATGTAGTTCAAATAATTTATAAACAGGAACTGTTACATTTTCTTTGCATAACAAGGAATATTAATAAATGGCTAGACTTTTTAATTTTCTACTGGATTTCAAAGCATGATCAGTTAATTCTCACCAAATAGTTATTCACTAAAGAAGATATCTAGAATTCAGTATACAAAAGTTAGTTATCAAGTGCAAACAATGTTTATTTCTTAATCTAAAAAATGTGTTTTTCAGCACTTGTCCAAATTACCAAGTGTACTTAATGCAAGTTCCTTTGAAAATAATAAATCTGACCTTTACAAGCTATTATTTTGTTTCATTTAAATTTATTGCCAATAAGCAAATCAAACTATTTCTCCTAATTAAATATCTTGATTAATTTAATCAGATTCATTGTATAATTACAACTAAGTGCAAAGTAATTTAATTTTAAAAAAACAAGTGCCAGCTTAATTAAGTTTGGTTGCTGTATTTTATTTGTCTTTAATTGAAGAAACTCATCAAAGTACCAAGGGAAATAAAGTATGGTTAAAACATAACATATATTTAGCAGTATTCGGAACTATCTTTGTGAGAATTCAATATATTTCAGAAAAAGCTATCTATGAAAGACTGAAATATGGTCCTGGCTTGGGAAAGTAATTAAAATGTCACTTTTTTCAAACTGTACCCTGAGTTAGTCAGAGAAACGTAGATTAAAACACATCTACAAACTTGAAAATATGTAAATAGATAACAAACAGTGAAGGATTAAGAACATACCTCCTCATACAGTCCAATGCTCGAATAAAGAAATCTTTGTGCAATTGATGCTCATCTCTTAAAATTGAACATTGTTCCAGTGTCACTGACATTGATGTCCTATCTTTGGCACTTTTACAGCAGGTGAACCGTACACCATTTAACTTGCGGCAAATCTATAGTGCAAAAAGAAGATATAGTGTCTTTTCTTTCATATTGTAATTTGATACTTCTATACCCTTTTAGAGTCTATTGTTCTGTGCTGTTTTTTGTGCATAATAAAGTTTTTGTTGGATTGTCTATAATGCACAAAGAAAACCAAATAACTACCATATATGCATTTTAACTATAGGCATATTGCATTATCTAGCACAAGAGTCCTCAACCCCGTCTGTGGCCTAATGCTGGGTCACAGCCCGTTTAGAAACAAGGCGCAGAAGTGTTGAATGAGCATGTGTGCATATGAAGCTGCATTTGTGAAAGCATGCACACAAAACCATCCCCCCTGCCACCCCCACTGAGCAGGAAAGGTTGGGAAACGCTGATCTAATATGAAACGATTTAGAGAAACCAATACATCACACCTTTCAAAAATATTTTCAGCTTTGTTCTTTTGATAACACAAAATACCCCATTTCTAAGTATAGTTTATTCATTAAATAATGCTTTTACCATAATTGCCTAGTCAAGCAAGTGTATAAAATTTGATAAGTATATAAATAAAATAAATAAAAATCAAGTTCCAACAATATATAGAATGTATATCAATCGTTTGGCTGAATGCATCAAAATGTGCAAGAGACACCAGTGGTAAAAAGAAATGTTTTGACTTTGAGTTGATAAGTCAATTCAAGATGTAGCCTCACAGGCAGCATTTGGATTTCTATAGAAGAGGTTTAATTAAATGCCAACAAGTCAAGACACGGGAATCAAGGTGGCCTGATATGTAGACATTAAATAATAAAATTTAACTTAACAGTGCTTAATAATTTAACTTATGCTTTTGTGTGGGGAGTAGGTGATGCCTATTTTTAATATGCTATTATTTATTTTTATTGGGATGGGCCTCACATAAGCTAGAAGTGATAATTTTTGAATAATTAAAGAAGGGATTCTCTGATTTCCTTCGAAGTTTTGGTTCTGGACTTCATGGGAATAAATGGCAAATTGAAGACAGTTAACAAAAATGAAACCAATGACTATGGCAGAATGGGTCTGCTGGCATGGTGGCAGGCAAGAGCGCCGGGTGAGCCGCACTTTGCAGGACAAAGTGGGAGGACCTATGTCGGCAGGCCTGTCGGCATCAGGAAGGCTCTAAAGGAGGTAGCTGCAGGGGGGGGGGGGAGAAGCAGGAAACTTTGTAGCAGGTGCTGCCAGGCATGCAAAGGCAGTGCTGCCCCTCCACTTTCCAACCCCGAAATTCCGAAGTAAAGTTGGGCATACTTTGAGCACTGCTGACAAGCTGCATATCTGCTGTACTCTCAGCTGCCGCCCCCTTCCTTGGCAGGACGAGACTGGAGCGCCGCTTTGCAGGAGGAAGAGGACAGAGGTACTTGCAAGTCCAGCCCCAGCTATGGCGAGGAGCAGTGACTGCGTCTGTGCCGTCGGGCCGTGAAGAAAGAACCAGAGGGGCATGGTGGCTGGGCTGCCTTCTGGCCCACTGGATTCAGATTTTTCCTTTGTTTGGGGACATATGGCTTAACTCTCGCCGAAATGCAAATCTCTCTCTAAGCAGGGATTGGGAAGGCCACTACCTTTGTGGCCATGCAGTTCTGAAATCGATGGGCTGCTGCTGGGGTGGAAAATCAAAATAGAGCAAAACAAGCTTAGTCCACCATGGTTTATTGATTGCAGTTTTCCTCGGGTTTTCCTAGCCCTTCCTGGGCTATTAAAATCACACTGGCAAGGTCTGTACTGAATACCTGGCTGCAAACTACTCAACCAGATTTTAGACTAGGCCCTTGAGCAATTCCAGGCCACATTCTGGAGGTAAGAGGATGTAGTAACAGGAGAAAGCTGCAAAATTGATTTGTTATTTATTCTTGCCGTTAGCAGCAATAACTATGTTGTTTGATGACTACTAGCAACCTGCAGGCTGTGAATTTTCCTTTCCCCCTTGGGGAAATAATTCAGGAGTGCTAGATTTATTTTTCCTGCTAATTACAGTATACCTTGTGGGTTTTTAAGGAGCTTATGAGAAAAAGATGTGTCTGAAAATTAAAGGATGTATGGATTGGGTTGTGAGACAGGGAAGAGAAGTACATGGACTTATGCATTTCCAGTTGTTGACAGGTGTGCCACTAATATTCTGACTGGACACCTGCATGGTCTCAGGGCCCAGAGATTATCTTCATTCTTCATAGGGCGGTATTGTGGATTAACTGAATTTTTCTGGGTTCTGATTTTAAGGTGAGTATTCTGAGCTGTAGAGGCAGATTAGAAAGAACAAGACCTTTTGGGGTCTTCAATTCCCTTCCTGTTAAGAGTTCCTTAATGAGATTTGCTCTTCCTTCCTAACATCAATAAAGGTGGTTTTTCCAGAAAATATGTGAAGAGCTGTAATTAATGATTTAACTATGTTTTCTTTTTGGCTGTGTTTTAATTTATATATAATGTATATTTAATCGAGGAGGGCTTGGAAAGGTAGAAGTGGCCAATATGGAGGCTGCACCTTGCCCTCCAGATCTCTGTCTCCCCTGCAGATCTCTGCAGAGGAGGAGGGGGTGGCAGGGGAGCTGTGTGAGGGAAGGCTGCCCCAACAAGCCAGCATCCTTACCACCCATGATTGGAAATGGGAATTCCCTTTTGAGAAGGGCCAGCCTCCCTTGTGCAGAACCTGGGAGCGCTGCTCTCCTGCTGCCTCCTCTTGCTCTCCAGAGATCAGTCAACATAGAAGTTGGACTCGGAGTTAACTACTTTCTGCAAACATCTTCCACCTTCTGCTTTGCCAAGAGGGGACACTGGACAGGGAAAAACCAACGATGTCTGAGATTGGGAAAAGAACATCTCTTTAGTGTGCTATCCATGCACACACAAACATTCCAAGCTTGGACACTTGTATCCACATCTGAGCTAGCAAATTGCCAAGGCCCTCTCCTTCCTCTGTGGATAAAAGCCCCTAGAATGAGGTGTGTGTGTGTGTGTGTGTGTGTGTGTGTGTGTGTGTACACGCACATGCGCTTGGCTGGAAGCGGGGAGTTTGTTGGGCACTGAGTTGTCCCCACATCGGGTCAGCCAGTGCAATTTGTTCCGTTCTGACCCAGCTGTGTCCAGTAACTGGCATCGAGTAGGCCATGCACATCTCCTAGGCAACTGGTGGTACTCGCATATTGCCATATCCTAAAAGTGGTACAATCTCTGAAAAGGTTGAAAACCTCTGCTCTAAACAACTGCTCATCATGAGGAGATTACAAGACAATAGTGGCTTTAGAACTCTGGGAGATGAGGAATTAGTTATCCTGCTCAAATCACAGTTGGCATGCCTTTCAAAGGACACTAAGTTTGCATATGTTTGGAAATGGCATGTTAATTGTTTTTCAACTATTATGGACTTTTGGATTGACAAGTCTAAAAACACCAGTGAATTTCTTTCCATCCTTAGTGAAAACTTTTTGTTTTTAATTCTTTTAGAAGAAAACATGTTAGAATGCGACTTTGAAGATTGAACACTAGAGACACCTGTAAGGAATTAAATTACAATTAAAGAACATTTAAATTTAATTTACTAATACAGAATGGACCAAAATATTTTAACATAGGACATAACGTATTGAAGGTTTTTTTTAAAAAAAAATAATGGACCCAGGAATGAATTTTAAGAATATCTGCCTCTCTAGATAGACTGTGTTATGGAAGAAGAACAAGTTTTACCAGACAAGTCTGAGACTAATCTAAAAATGGATTTTAAAATGAAAAGCTCAAAGAATGATATTTTAAAAAGATGTCATTATACTTTTGTACTATATACAAAAGAAACCAACTGATGTCTTACTAATTAAAAGGGACACTCAAATAACAGTAAGATAGTAAGTAAGAAATAGGTTCTAGGACATTATTTAAAGGGGCTAAAATGAAAATTATTAAAAGTGAAAGGAAGGAATATAAAATTGATTTATTTGGACAAGGTTAAAATAGATATGGTTAAATCTAATAAGCCTTAATGGGCTTTTGGTGATCAAGACTGAAATGTTAGGCTTTGAGGATTTGTTTATAGATAAGAGACAGGATATGGGAAGAAGCAATCCTTTCTTGTATTTTAAGAAAAGGTTATTAAAAGTATTCATACTTACAATGATGAAGAGAGAAGTAAATTCTTTTTATATATTTTATTTTTTATTTCTTTTCTATTTTTTCTTTTTTCCTGCATTTTCAACTTTATTTTTAATCTGCATTATTTTTATTGTTGTAATTACATTTTTAATAAAATAATTTCAAACTATAAATAAACACAAAAAAGAAATTCTGGCTCTGCTTTATCTACATTATATTAAATATTACATTTAATATTTGTATAACAAATATTATAATTACAATATAAATATCATAAAGTATATGTTATGTTTATTATGTTTAAATACTTTCTGGCAGTTAAATAATATAGTATTCGTTTCAGGAAGTTCAACTAAGTTATATTTAAAATAGAAGCTAAAACTTTTCTCAATTCCTATCAGTTCTACTGGAGAACACACAAGCTCTAAGCTAATACAAATGAAGGAGAACAAGGTGGAAAATGGCTTTTTACATTATATTATAAACATTTTAAGTAGCAATGAATGTATTTCTGCAGATACCTATTATTTTATGTACACAAAAAGCTATAGGTTCAGCGAAGTTTAAAAATAGAAGGAAAAAACCATCAAGATCTACCCATTGAAGTATTTAGTACCCATTTATAATTAAAAACATTTATGACATTGGATCTGACCTGTCAAGGTAAGGTGTGCAAATCAGATGCTGTACAGAAGAGACCCAATATCTGGCATCCACCAACCTAGTTTCTTCTGGTATTAAAATACATGTAGATTACAGCAAGTAGCAAGTCTTTCATTCTGTTTAGAAACCATTTTGGATACTATTATAGAGCTTACTCATAAGTATAAATAACATAAGCTCAATTTTATGTTTGGGTTTATAGCAATTTAAAGAAATATAAAATCTAGCTAATCTGAGTCAGACT